ACTTAGTATCAAAATCAACTGCATTGGGTGCTAAATAAGCTGAAAACGACGTCACAAAGAAGCTATAAACAAGAAACAGTAAAAAGATGATAGATTTAAGAGGCATTTCGAATGAGTTTTTAGGGTTCTTGATGTTCACGTTGTAGTTTTTTTTCAAGAATTCAGAGTTCCCAGAGGGCTTTAAGGAAATGGATTGCATGGTGGCAGAGAAAAATTCATTGATATTTTCTGAAATTTATCATACAAAATTACAGCCGCAATTTGTTGTATATCCAAGTGAATGAAGAGGACAAAAATTTGAGCATAGGCAACGTAGGATAGTTCGATGATGATGCATAACTGCACCTAACACAGCTAAGTTATTGGCATCATCAATTTTGCCTGATTATTTTCCTCTTCATCAGTAAATGCGCTATCAAAAACTTTGAGATAAAATTTGAGGTTTACAGGATCGGTTTGAGCTTCCAAAGGTCTGATAGCAGTTGTGTTTTTTGACAATTTAACTAGGTTGGTCTAGCAAGAAAAAGTACTACGTTTGGATCGACTTGTGTTAGAGCATACAGTTGAACAATTTTTTATTATTTTTGCTTATGTCTGGTGATATCATTTATCTTTCAGGCCTTACCTAGGAGAGGTGGGTCCCCTACCATGCACGCTCACATGACCTCGTTTACGTCGCCACCTAAGGGCAACCAACAAGTTCCTTGTTGGGCCTGAGTTCCTTGACCTTTTTCGATCGGTTCTAATACAATTGGTGCTTAGGATCGTCCCCTATTAGGTCTCGACCCCGGATCTCATTTATCCAATTGCTCAAGGATTCACACTCCACTGTTATACATTTGTCCTAACCATAGTCGCAGTTCTGTGGCCATTAGAGTTCAATCCTATCTGATTATTTTATTCTTATGCAAGTATTCTAATTCTTATAGGATTACACCTCACCAAGATATACTCGACACTTGTATGTTATGAAGGTGTTTTTGAACATCAATGCCTTGGCCGTCGAGGCACAATTGAGCAATAGATGCTTTGTCCGTCGAGGCTCTCCTAAGCAATAGTCCAGAACCTTAACACGTCGCTGGAGACATATTTGAAGGCCTAGATCGTCAACAGTACTAAAGCCCTCTATTTGGCCTTGACCGTAGAACATTAACTTCAGGGTGTATTTTGACATAATTAATGCGAACTTCAACGTACTAAACACATGGTGCATACAACGAATTATTAGACAAGTTTCAAAAAGCACAAACCTCAACAAGTTTTGGAGTTTGAGATTTAATCATAACTTTCAGCATAATAATGAGTGAATGTCCATACATAAAGGACCAAAATGCCCCTTAAAAACACCTATAAATAAGGCCATTACACAATGAAAAGGGGGTAAAAAATAGAATATTCAAAATTCCTCTCTTGAAAAGCCTCCTCGGATAAAATAACATTTGGGGTTGGACCTTTTGTAAATTGAAACATAATCTCCGACAGAGAAGCATTTTCCGGCCATCAAAACATCAGAATCTTCAACTTTCTTTCTATGCAAAAATTGGCTTTCAAAAGCATACCCAAAATTCCCAAAAAGGAAAATCCTGCTGAAATTTGGAAGAAAAAACTGCCGTTGACTTTAAAAAATAGTTTCCTTTAGGCTTTAGGTCAACAGTTGCGACAAGTTGAACTAAATACTTTTTAAAAAAATGCTTAATGGGAGGCAACCATTCTCCATAACTTTTATCTATTGCCCAATCCTCCATCAAAAACCGTGTTTAATGAACAAACGAGCTTTCAAATGCTTCCTCAAGTAAATTACTCATACATCTAACTTTTTTGTTTGGAATTTCGCTAATTCTTCAAGTCCCTCTAATTCCTTCACCAATAAGTCCATCTTTGCAACAATTTCCATCAACAATGAACAGCAAGTGATCTTGAATTTTTCATCATTTTCTTGTGTTTCTACTGTGGAATTTGAGGAATATTAATCCAAGTCAACGTCGAAGTATCATTGCAATTTCGGAGTTATCAAAACACTAGCACGGCATCTTTTCATCTTCTTAATACTTTCTCCAAGCTCTCTCAAAATCCACACCAGTGATAGCATCACGATTTCATCAGTTTGTTCCTTCATTGCCTGGCTCATCACCGATGAAGACTGGCCATAGAAATTAAAATCATTTAAGTAACAAACATATGAATAAATATTTTTTTTCCTGTGTTTACTTCAAGATTTGGCATTACAACAAGAAATCTTGTTCAAGTATCGCCACTAAGAGGGCATGTTAGACTTTAATGAAAAAGGAATCTTGCTACTACACAAGAGGTTATATCATATAAAGATCTTGAGTCGAAGTGTTGCTGTTAACTGTTAATGAAAATTGTGTATACGCATGTATGTGAAGTAACATGTTGAAGTTTCTTCTCTTACACGTTAAACATTTAGATAAACACTTGTGTAACAAACCTTTTTCGATGATTGGAGATATCCATATAAAGTAAAAATCATTGCAGCAAGCTCTCTTAGAATTTCTCCAACTTTTAGGTAATTTTTCCATGGATGAAATAATCCAAACTTTCCGTCGGTTCCAAGGGTAGATCGCTCTAACGCCTGCGGTATATGAATAAATTTTGTTCCGATTAAAGTGTACTAATGGACTATAACATGTGAGAAAAAATTTAGAAAAGATGGGGACGTACACATGAATAAATGATTTCCATGACATTCACTACAATAAAGTTTACTTTTTACGGCTTGTATTGTATGCCATAAAAAGTTCTTTACGGTTAAACGCCGTATAAAGCTATATCGTAAAATGTGACTCAATTTTTATGGCATGCAAAGCATGCCTTTGCATGCTGTAAAAGAACGCCGTTATTACTTTTTACGGCTTTCATGTGCATGCGGTATAAAGTATGTCTGGCATGCCTTTGAGTGCAGTATATTAGTTAAAACTTACTAGTGATTCCTCATAGGCATTTGAGTGCAGTATATTAGTTAAAACTTACTAGTGATTCCTCATTGGCATTTGAGTGCAGTATAGACTTGCAGGTTTGCACAACGATACTTTGTAGGGTTTCCATATCATTGGATATTGTGTAAAATTCCTCCAAGCATCCTACACAGAGTCGGATTAAGTATTAAGTGAACTATAAGGCGGTCGCCTATGGATATACATTTACTTGACTAATTTTTTATTATTGTTTCAAAAAACCTCCCTTGACGATTTTGCCTATTGTTTCCAAATTATTTATGTTGCCTCTGACAGTAAATGTATAAAAATACTGCATTTTGATACCTTCAATTTAATTCATAAAAGCTGAGTAGAATATGATAGTTACCTTCAATACAGGAGGCAAGTTTTTCAAATTTGAAGGCTATAGAGTAATGGAGTTCATCACTTGCCCACATAGGAAAGATGAAGATGCTAATGCATATGCAGATTGCCAAGCCCATACCAACCGTCGAGAGTCGGTTTAGGGCTAGATTCACAATGATATCTGACCGTACAGGCGATACAAGGACAAGATTGAAGGTGAGAATGAAGATCATCACTGCATAATCGTATCTCCTCTTGATCTTTGGAAGCAGCCTCATATATGTTGCAACAGCGCCTGTGCAATAAAACTTACTTTAATGTGGCATGGCAAGGTTGAAGAAAAATGGTCAAAAAATACGCCTTCATTTTAAATAAATTTGGAGTCGATATTCATATTACAAATAGCATTATGTAAACTGCTTATCTACAAGTAGTATTATTCATAATATTTGTTGGGTTTTTTATACCCAATGAATCCCAGATTATGATGTAAACGTTGGATTAAATTATTATCAACAACCAAGGTCAAAGGCTAGACCCGAAAACAACGTGGACCGTTGGAAGTAGCTTAAACAATTAATGTTGCTCATGACCCATATATATTACTTATTGGATGGCTTTAAATCTTAACCAATTTAACCCTTTTATTGTTTTAACTAAAGTTTAACCTGACCCTATATATATGTTGTCTTTGCCCTAATTGTAATTGTGTGATTTGAGTATGAAATTGAGAGAAAATGTGGCTGCCCTCTTGTTGGAAAATTGACTTAATATTGGAGAGAAAAAATCGGTGGCTTCTTTGTGTATTTGGCCTCCTCTTTTTGTCTCCTTCCATTGTATTTCCTAC